CTGCCCTTTTTCGCTAACAATTTTCTTCTCATTACTTTCTCTCATCATTTCAATTCCATTCTAATTAGCAATTATATCTGCAATGCCCACACTCAACGCTGCCACATTTGAGCCTCTAGCGGATAAAACTTGAATGCCGCATTTGCCACACGAGCGTTCATTGAACCCCCTCTACCCGGAATATACCCCTTACTCATCAAAATGGCTGTAATATGAAATTGTTGGCAAATTGTATGCCCTCTTTTGGCCTTTCGCAACTAAAGCGGCTTTTAACTTTGCACATTTGCCAACAGCCGACTGCACTCAAAATTTAAGTGGGTGCTGGTGTACTTAAAAATTATATTTATAACACACACACACACAGGTACATATATATATATATATATGTATAAATATATATATACAATGTATAATACACACAAACATAGCTAAATATAACAAGTATGCGTGCTCTAGTCGCGTGTGACTGCCTAAGAGATGCCAGTGTGAAAACTTATAAACTTATGTTTAAGAAATTGTTGCACATGACTTATTCAATCTCGTAAACCACAATATCCACAACATTACCATACCCACTTCTATTCATTTAATATGCACAGGGTATACCGATTACATACCACATGTAGTCGTCAAGCACTTTAGTACAATTTTCGTTCTCATTACTTGATCATATATGTATTTTGTTCAATTTGTGCAAATATTTAATGTGCAAATACGAGAGCAACAAATAAATAGATTGAGTGCGCTACTAATGAAACTATTTAGGAACACTTCCCACTACTTTACTTCACACATCTATGTATTTGTATATCGAAAATGGGTCTTATTATTCAAATTGAATGCACTTCAATCAAATTGATTGTGGTCTACTTACTTAGTCACGAATCGTCGGCCCAAACCGCAAATTGAGTCATAGTAAAAAAAAGTTCCATGTTTCTTTTTTTTTTTTGCTTTTGGCTCTCGTATTTGGTCGGGATCCCTTTCTTGGAAATTTAACGCCTCTTTGTTGGGAGTGAGCAAATATTTAAATATGCTAATGTGCCTATTCAACACTATTGAAAAGCTGATCCAATAACCAAAGCATAAGTTAGGCAGTCTCCAAAGGCAGAGTAGTATATTAATATGCGGTGATAATAAGTCATCGATAGTATTAATATTTTGTTAAAGCAATGTTAAAGGTAACTTATGAAGATACCAACTATTTAGCTTGGTAGAGAAAGCTCGACTAGAAGATATACTGAGCCCAGCTTTTATGCAAAACCAATTCTGTGTTTCTTATCCGATCCTAAAGAAGATTCTACAGTTCATCGATGAGATATCATGGTGCATTATATATCAATTTGAATGCAGTATCTTTACAATTGTGTCTTTTATTGCTATCGGAAATCGGCATGTTTATAGGCAAACAGAGGGACGTGCCTAGATTGACTTGGCTGTTGAAGCTGATCAAGAAAATATAAGCTTTATGGTGTCTCTTTGTCTTTTAAATACTTTTACACAATCTCATTATTCCCCTTTTGCCCATTGTTAATGGGTTCAGGGTATACAAATATTATCGAGACCATATTTAGTAGAAATTATATATGTAAATGTTTGACATTAAATATTTTAAACAATGACTTAATTTTATTTGCACACATATTTCTACTCTCCGTTCAGCTTTGCTTTTTGCTGTTGTTGTTGTTGTTGCTGTCGCTTATTGCGATGAATATGATTAGTATGAGTGAATCGATGAGCTCATTCAACCTATCGAACATTTCAGCTGTGTAGGTGTGAATATAATATAAAAAAGCCAAACAATGCTTAATATGCGAACAATAACAAATGAAAGTGAGGAGCAGGCGAACGTGCCCGGAAACGGTTCTTCACTTTCCGCAATCGTTACAATAATTGCCATTTACAAAGTCGCATTTGTAATTACTTTTTTTTTTTTTAATTTTTCACGCTTTCGAATATGAATTTGCATTCTGAGCAACAGCAGCCAACGTATTCGAGACGATTTGTTATAAAAACTGCATAAACTGCAACACTTTTCATTTTTTTTACGAGTTCGCATTTTATGTGCTCCATAAAATGACCCCATCGTTCCGGGCTGAGGTTCGCCAATGCACTTGGCCGGATATGTGTGGAGTGTTCCGGGGAATGGGGGACTGGGGGACTTTGTCAGTGCGACAGCGATTAGACAGTGTAATGATAATTAACTTGTCAGCCTGTTATTCAATTGGCACTGGGCTAATTTGTTCTCAAAAGCACATTAAGATGCAACAATACAATATAATTGCCACTTATTTGGTAAGCAAAAATAGCTAAAATAATTTGTTGACTATGAATAATAACTAATTCATGATAATAACAGAACTTAACAGTTATTATTGATTGTTTTATATTTATCCTGTATCAAATATTATTAAGTTATTAAAACAGTGAATTTCGATTTCGAATAATTGTTCGTTTTCGTTTGACGCCTCAAGGCCGACTTGAATGAGTTGCTTAGAAATCCATACAAATATGAAGAACAACTTTTTGAACTCATGGAATATTTTGGTATTGGAAAAAACATGGGAGGCTCTTTATTTCGTAATATCGATAATTTTCGATAGCAATAAAGGATGCAATTGTACAAATATAGCCTTTGAATATAACAATTTATCGATCAACTGCATAAATTTCATTAAGATCGGATAGTGAACGCAGATTTTGCTAATCATATTTTCAAATTGAGCAAACTAATAAAAACAAGCTTATTATGCATGTTTGCTGTTTGCAGGGTATCTGCTAGTCATGTTATATTGATGAATATAATTTAAACTCTCGATAATTATAAAAAACTCAAGCTTAATTTTGCAATACATTTTTTTTTTGTGATAATAACAGTTGGGAACCATAAACAAATAGTTAATAAAAATATTAATCAAATAGTTTCGGCCAAGCCAAATATAAATCATAAGCGTGTTATTTGTGCAAATGTTGTTTAATCATCGCGCACCCACAGTAAACACATGTATTTATGTATATATATATATATATATACAATATAGATATGCGACCAACGGAATCGCGTGTTCCACGTCGCCACCCGCAGATTGCAGAGTCACGCTATAAATACTCAAACCTGGGTAGGAGGTACTTTTGCACCCAGATTAACTGTCGCAAGGCATTCAGAATAAAAAATGTTTTCTATATTTAAAAAAGAAATAAAACAGCTGATTCACTTGGTATGCGAAAGGCCGACAAATAGTTTCTAGACAAGTTTCTAGCAATTCAATTATTGATTGTTGTTGTTGCGGCTGACTAACGAACGTGTCAGACAAATTGACGACTGCCACCAGTTGCGTCTGCCTTCGATTTTATACCCTGCTGCCTGAGGGTATTCCAATGGAACTGTAAGGCACTCTTCAAGAGACTTGCACAGTTTTTCAATTAAATTGATTGAATTTGAAATGTGAACAGTTGAATTTCCCTCCATAAGAGTAACTAAACTTCGGCATGCTTTAAAAAGCTATTTTTTCTTTTGTATTTGTTATTTGTTACAATTTATTTATAACTAACTTATGAGGGTTTCGCCCTCGGAAATGGCATTAAAAATGCATAACTTAAAAAAAAAACAAAAACTATAGCCACATAGCAGCAGGTGGAAGTGGTTGACCCTGGCGGCAGAGACGGTGACCGTTGCCTGTCCCAGACAGTTGATGGCCTCCAGCTGAATCAGCTGCTTGAAACAACAATTCCCAACCCGTTCTGTAATGTTTTTGGCAAGCAGCAATCATTGCACAAATATTCATTTTCAGAACTGTTTGATCTCATTTTGGTGGTCAAGCGAGGTGAAAAATTCAAAGAGATTTGTTTATTTGATGGTATAAGCAAATAGTAAGTATATCCTATAATCTTTAAATAGACTTGAGTTTCTTTTCTTCAGGGATATTTGAACAATATGTGTTTTATGGGTGAGTACAAAATACATCGTTTAAGTGTGTATTTGGTAATGTTCAAAGGCAGAGAATTACTAATAGCAATAAAGTTACTTGAATAATAAACTAAATTCATGATTGAATATAAAATTAAAATGAAAATAAAATGAATGTGCAAAGGGCAAACAAAATATACAATTTTGAATACTTTGCTATTATTTTATAGTATTATTTTTATTATTTTAACACAGCGTTTTCTCTCTGTGTACATATGATTTGCCCAGTGGCAGTTACAGCTGGTTCGGTCTGAAAGGAACCCTGACATTGATAGTCATTTGCACAGTTATTCAAATTGAATTAAAATTTGTTGGTTTGAATTTGATTCATTTGCGTTTACGTCTGAATCGACTCAAAAGCCAATTGAATGTGTCATCGTTATTATTGCAAGAGTGGGGAAAAAATAAATGCATGCAGTACACAAAAAAAGCAAACCGAATTTGAAGTGGCTTTCAGATATACTCATATATGCACATGTGATTGTTGTTCTCAGATGTTATCTTGAGTACCGGGTCAATATTTACAGCACATCGAATAAAACAGCGATCGCACTGCGCCCAGTTGACGTCAAGTTCCATTTCACCCTATTGAATCATAAACCCCGAAAAAAAAAGCGAATAATGCTGATGCCCCAAGAAATCGAATTAATTCCATCGGACCATAAAGATGTTCTAAATATGTACAGATATGGAGAGTAGTTAAAAAAAAACCCGCAGTCAGGCCTTGGCTAATGTAATAAATGGTCGCGCAGTAATCTACAAATCGACTGAAAACAATGACATGGCTAGACACAAATGCCATATGCCATGAGATCATACGAGCACTTCTACAAACATGAGCTGATAAGCTCGATAAGCCGCTGATAAGCGATCGTCTAACTTTTAAGTTAAGCACCGGGTGAATTCAGATAACAATGTGGACACATAACGTGCTGCACGGTTCTCTTTCGCCTAGCAATCTTGCGAATCTCTCACAGAATTCATCTAGTAGGCAGCTGGAAAATGCAGAACAAGTCACTAAAAATTATTAACTTACCAGAAGAGTATTCTCAGCGAATTGGCGACCAGAAGGGCCAAACAGACATACAAAGAGAAGCCGTCGGCGTCCTGCGTCTTCTTGATCTCGATATATTGGGGGACATAGGGTATAACGCCGCCGATGACCATTGCCGAGGCGGCCGCCCAGCCGACAACGTGACCGACAGTCAAACCCAACTCATCGCTAATGATCCAATCCATTTTGTTTTTTTTGTTTTATTGTTATTGAATTATATGTTATTGAGAGACTTAGGTGAACTTTTACTTAATATGACGGATATGTTTGCTTAAGTTCGTTGCTGTTGCAGTTGCTGTTGTTGTTGTTGTAGCTGTGCAAAGGGGTTGACTAGTTAGGAGGCCGGCGGCTGGAAGTTAGTTGTTTCGTTACTTTTTTGTTGTTTTCTTTTGCATTATTATGCAGTGACGACAGCGATGGCAGCGACGTCAAAATCAGCGTAGGCGTTCTTTAATTTTGTGCCAAGCAGAGCAGAGCAGAGAGGGAGAGTGAGAGAGAGAGAGAGAGCGCGCGCGAGTGGGAGAGAGACTGCCAAGATATGCAGTCAGCTGCTCAGATGCTGAGTGTGAGTAAATGCCCAAAGAGGAAGTCAGCGTAGTAGTTGTTGTTAGTGTTGATTACCGCTGTTATTGTTGTTGTTGTGGCCAGTGCTGCTACTTTTGTTGTTTTTGTTGCGTTTGTGTTTTCGATTCGCTTTGTTTTCTCTTTTTTGTTTGCTGTTTTTCTTCTTCACTTTTCTGCTACACTGCTACACACACACACACATAAATACAAATGAAACACACACAGCTGCTGCTTCAAAATTTGCCTTTTGTTATTGTCGCGCCGTTTTATTTGTATTGAATTTTCCAAATTATTTTTGCCACGCCGAACGCGAACGCGCGCCTTTTACAATATATCTGTGGTCAGTAATTTTCCTGCAATATCCTAAACTACAACAACTACACATGGACAACGAGAAGAAAACGAGGCAGAGGCAGCAGCAGAACTCTGTTTCCATTTCCCACGATTTGTTTGACTTTTAATTTTGTATGCGTCTTGACTTTTCTCGGTTTTCATTAGTTTCTATGATTTTACATTTCCATTGCGCGTTAAACAAAACCTAATTGACTGTTGTTGTTGTTCTGGTTGTCCTGCTTAGCTGCTTCCTCATTGTTTTCGCTTTGTCGTACTCTGATTCTTGTGCATTTTTTTCTCTGTGCAAAATGCACTTATCTTCCGTGATTTGTCCAATATTTATTTTAATTTTCGCTTAATTCCACCCGCGACGCACGTCTCGCTCGCTCGACGACAAAGCAACAACAACGGCAATTAACATAAAATGGTTAGAGCAAGTGTTATGCTCGAAATGGCACTGTAAAAGTAGCAGACTGTTAAGGAAGTGTGACCAGCTAATTTTTTCTTAACTGCTAGTATCTTGACAGTGATAAAATCACGTCTATTTGATTTTTTTTTATAATTATAAAATTAAAATTACATATTGTGTAAATGAATTTTAAAATATTATTTCCTTGTTTTTATTAGTTGTTTGGGATTTGGTTCTAAAATGCACTTCAATTTTAGCTTAGGCTGTTATTATTCTGTGTACTTTACAATTTATTGACACTCATTTCGAGTATATTAAAAAAATCTGTACAAATTGTCATTGGTTTAATATTATGCAACGATTATCACAGTAAAAACTAAAGATTTTGTATGAAATTAAAATTAAACTATGCAAAACACATTCGACTTTAAACACTAAATTTAAACTAAGCGAGCGCGTTCTTTTCTTAGTTTTTCTTTTTCTTCTTCTCGGCTTGACCCATTCCCTGGGATTCCTGATACTGTCGCACAATCTGATCCTGGACATCGGGCAGACAAGGTGAATAGCGGGAATATTCCATGGTGAACTCACCCTTGCCTTGTGTGCTGGAGCTGTGGATGAAATAAAATTTTAATAAAGAAATTTGGGAGATCTTCTTCGAGGTGAGCATACCGGAGTTCGCTGGCATAGCCGAACATATCGTTGAGTGGCACCTCTGCGTAGACGGTGAACCAACCCTCGGTGCCTTCTGTGCCGGTGATGATGCCATGCCGCTTGCTCAGGTGACCCATGACGGCGCCTTGGAACTCCTCGGGCGCTGTGACCTCGACAAGCATAATGGGCTCCAGTATTTGCCAGGAGCCATTCTGGAAGACCTCCTTGATGGCACCGTGGGCGGCGAGCATGAAGGCCAGTTCGCTGGAGTCGACAATGTGATGTCCACCATCCTGAAGGCGGAAACGAATGCCGGATAACTTGTGGCCGGACAACATGCCACGTTCGCACATCTCGCGATAGCCCTTCTCCACGCCGGGCACAAACTGTTTGGGCACATTGGTGCCCACCGTCTCATCGACGAACTCGAGCAGCGTATTCTGATTGGGCGGCAGCGGCTCCATGAGGCCAATGATGCGGGCATACTGGCCGGATCCGCCCGATTGCTTCTTGTGCAGAAAGTCAAATTCGCAGGGACCGACGAGAGTTTCACGGAACGCCACCTTGGGCTTGCCCAGCGTCACAGGACAGCCATATTCGCGCTCCATGCGCTGGGCATAGATCTCCAGATGCAGTTCACCCATGCCCGAGACGAGCGTCTCCTTCACATCGTTGTCAAAGTAGAAATGAAAGGTGGGATCCTCCTTGGTGAACCGAGCAATGGCCTTGGAGAAGTTATCCCGATCCTTGGTGTTGTTGGGCTTAATGGCCATCGAGACAACCGGCTCCGGCACAAATATCGATTCCATGGCCATATTATTCTTCGGATTCGTTGTGAACGTATCACCCGACGCACAATCGACGCCAAAGAGAGCAAAAATATCGCCGGCAAAGACCTCGTTAACATCCTCCATCTGATTGGAGTGCAGGCGGACGAGGCGAGCGATGCGCACCTTTTTGTTGGTGCGCGCATTGAAGATGTTGTCGCCCTTGCGCAGCACGCCCTGATAGCACCGCAAATAGGTCAGCTGGCCGAAGCGACCCGCCTCCAGCTTGAAGGCCAGACCCATAAACGGATCCTTGCCATCACGTGCGGGATTCAGCACAATTTGCTGTTTCTCCTTGCCTTCGTGTTCGATGTAGGCGAGATTCTCAACCTCTCCCGGATTGGGCAGGTAATCAATGATGGCATCCAGTAGCGGCTGCACACCCTTATTCTTCAGTGCGGTGCCCACCAGGACGGGCGTAAAGGTGCGCTTGATGCAGGTGCGTCGCAGGGCCGCCTTTATATCTGCCTCGGTGAAGGGCTTCTCCTCGAGGAAGAGTTCGCCAAAGGTTTCGTCCGCATTCGACAGGTGCTCGATGAGCTCTTGCCGACGTTCTTGGCTCTCTACGCGCATCTCTTGCGGAATCTCATCCAGGCGCAAATCCGCACCGTTCTCGCCCTCAAAGTAGACGGCACGCTCCTGCACCAGATCCACAAGTCCCTTGCAGTGACTCTCCACGCCAATGGGCAGCTGTATGAAGGCCGCATTGTGATTCATCTTGGAGCGTAGCTGCGACAGCACCCGATTAGGATTCGAGCCTAAGCGATCCAGTTTATTTATAAATGCCAGACAGGGCACATTGTAGCGCTTCATTTGCCGGTTGACAGTCAGCGTCTGGCTCTGCACACCACCGACGGCGCAGAGCACAAGGACAGCACCATCGAGGACGCGCAGAGCACGTTCCACCTCCACGGTGAAATCGACATGACCGGGCGTATCGATAATATTGATGTTGGTGTCCTTCCACATCGTATAGGTGGCTGCCGATTGTATGGTAATGCCACGCTGTCGCTCCAGCTCCATGCTGTCCATGGTGGCACCCACATTGTCTTTGCCGCGCACCTCGTGCATCTCCGCAATGCGTCCCGTGTAGAACAGAATCCGCTCCGTTAGCGTCGTCTTCCCGCTGTCTATGTGCGCCGATATGCCAATGTTCCGGATCCGTTCGATCGACTTGTGCTCCGCATATTTCGCATGCGAGCTGTAGCCGCATTGCAGCTATAAAATGCATTTAATTCAATTACATAATGAGCCGATTGGACAAACTGGTTTGACTATTTGTATAAACCGTGACGAACACTCACCTGACACACGGTTTTCATGGCGCTGAGGCGCAGCGACAGATTGCCATTCAGCACACGCATTATAAGCGACATTTTATCTGCTTTTTAATTGATAATATTATAAATTTTACTAATAACACGCGCTCGATGCCGCAACCCCGAAAACAGCTGGTGGCGTAAAGAGTGCTGCAAAGCGGCGATCGCAACAGTGCTGTTAAATATCCACACTCTGCTGTGCAATCGATATATCAACAATCGATTATTATAGCTGAGATGCGCGCGAATTATTGAAAAGTGCGCTAATCATATTGAATATTTAATTCTTAATTCCTTTATTCATACAAAATACCAGTAATTGGGCAAGTAAGTGTGTACATTTTCAGAAATGCGTCTGTTATTAAAGCTTACTCAACAAATAAAACAATAACTGGCAACACCGGAACATTAAAAATCAATTATTTAAAGTCAGATGTGAGCGCGCGCAATTGAAATGCCCGTTAAAACACATTTAAAACATTTATTCATAATAAATTCCAGGATCAGGTAGTTTGAGATGTTCTTGTTAATTTGTGTGCTGATATGGTAAAACCGCAATATTTAAAATATATATATATATAATACATATATATATTTATATGTGAGTGTGTATTTTGTTTGTTGCAATTTGTGCCATTTAAACGCACTAGAAATTCATTGGGATTGCTGATGGCAACAGTAATGGTGGCTTGTACATAAATACATATTTATAAATTTAGACATATACGAAAGTTATACAAATACAATAAATATTACTAAATCATCGATTCAAACGGATGTTTCTGTTGATGAACGATATCCGCCCCACAATTGCTTCGTCGTATCAAATTTTGGGTTCTGTAAAAGCGAAATGTTTGTGTTAATATTATCCACTGAATGTTGCTAGACTTTAGATCTGACAGAATACATACATACAGATATAGAGAGAGAGACAGAGGTTTGATTACGAGCATTCTATGTGGTATTTAGACATCAACACGATGCAAATGAGTATTTTGATCGCTGATTGATGGCTGATTAAAAGATGCTTAATGGGAGCAGGCAAATACCAAGATATTGTTGGTGCTATATATATATATATATATATATATATATATGTATGTATGTACAATGTGCCAGACTGAGAACTATGCACAAAATACACTGAAACAAAGGAGACTATAACTAGTTTTTTGTTTTTAGTTTTGGGCGCACAAAATGAAACATACAAATATTTAATTTTTACTTTTATTCAATGTTTATACGTATATTTTAATGTATAAATGTGTATCTGTGTGTGTGTGTGTTTGTGTCTGTCTTTGTTCGTGTTTGTATTTCATTTAGAGCTTAGCATAATGCACAAATTATAATACATTTTACAGTTGCATTTGTTTGTTAGTTTAGTTTATTATATATACTAAACAAATGCGTGTTCGGACTAAATATTTCTAAGACGGCTTTCCTCTAATTCCTCTAACGCAATACATAAATCACGTATCTCGACTATAAGATCACAGCTTATCCAATCCCAACCAATTTTAAATCGAAAGCCTTTCATAAAACTGTCAAAGTATAAACTTAATTAAAAGCAAACATAAAGGAACCATATATGAATAGTAGATATTTATAGCATAGTATATAATATATATATATGTATATAGGGAGTGTTCATATTGCATTAAATTGACTCCGGTAATGTATGGTTTGCATTTGTTGTAAAATTCCTTTCAAAAAGTGTATATATGTGCATTTTTTTGGAATAGATATTTATCCAGTTAGCCTTTGAGCCAGATAGTATGTAAAAATAATACTTGTATAGCTTGTACCTGAGCCCAAAATCTATGAGAAACATTTGCTGTTCGATATATATATATTTTTTGTATTGCCATCAACTATTTAGGCAGATGGTTAATTCTACTGGCACACCAAAACTGTTGTCAAAAAACCACTACGAATAAGCTATGTATATATTTATATATATATATATATATATATATATATATATATATATATATTTAGTTATGATACTGGTATGTAGAATTCCACATTCATAGTTTCGCTAATTGTATGCTATTCTTGAAGTCCCGTTCTGGAATTATCTATTTATGAAAATTGTGCATTTTTTCTACGCCTTCTGTGGACTCTCTCTAACACCATATGGTGTGCTAGTTTAGGTAGTTGGGTAGTAATAGTATAACACTTAGACGGGTGTTATATTGGCTGGGGTCTGAGTGTTGACCACGACACCTTCGAGCTTGGCAGCCGCCTCCTTGCAGCTGCTCGTATTCTGCTGTTGCATCGCCGACAGCGTTGTTGTAGATGTTGTCATCGTTTTGTTAGGGGTCTCATTATGCTCATCGGCCTCGTGCATGGGCGATAGGCGTGGCGAGAGGGCAGCATTTGTCGAGGAACTGAGGAGCATGGTCGAATGCAAATGAATGATATTTATACATATGTATATAGGAACATATATAAGGACATATATGTTTTCTATATGGGCACTTCCACAAATGAGATCTAATTTGATAACAACTAGTCCAAATTCTCAAGATGATAACATTATTTTACAATAGTAAAATACATAGAAAGTTATACAAGCCAAATCTTAAGTCCATCATTAAGAATAAAAGCATTATTTACAAAAAGTATTGAAGAATATGAGGATTATAAATGACTAAATGTCAAATTTTGAATGTATCACAGCAAATATGTACATTGGCTAATCACAATTTGTTGTCCTTCCTCTCACGTATATAGTTATGGAAATGCCCATATTTGAAGAATGCAGAAAAATACATTTTTTCTTGCTTGACCTTAGAACCTAATTAAATTAAGTTTGTGAGCTCGTGAGCATGAGTGGCGATTAAGTATCGAATTGGTTTCAGTAGCTAGCTAGCCGCATTGATTGAGGAGCTCGTGATTGGTACTGGTACTACTGGTACACTTACTGATTGCCATTGATTTGACGCACTTTAACGGTGACGGGTATGATCAGTTGCTCGGAGGTGCCATCCTTGTTGATCTGTTGCCAGACAGTTGTTCTATTCACTTCCGGTGGCATAGCTGCCGCAGCATTGCTGCCCATTTTGTTGCCCGATAACGGAATGTGTATAGTTGTAGCACCCGAACCGGGACCTGCAGGATTGGTATTGTAGGTGGCACCCGTACCGGGTGGCGGTTGCTGATTCTGATGATGGTTGTCCTTCAATATATAAGACATTCATAGCATTGTTTCTTTTTCTGTTTTGTTTTCTTTTTTTTCTGTTTTGTGTGGACAGAGAGAGAAAGAGAGAGAGAGAGAGAACGCTTGCTCGAGCGAAAGAGAGATAAAATGTGAAGAGGAGCAGGAGTTTGTGTGGTTTGGTAAGATTTTAAAGTGCAGCCGCAGGTGTTTTGCAAGTGAGAGCGAAAAAGAGCCAATGCGGTGTAGTTGTGTAATGCTAAGCTAGAAATTTAGATGCTTTTGCTTCTAATTTTTGCCAAATAGTTGTTTTATTTTTGTTTTTGGTGCTGGCTATCAAATTACAACAATGTCGCTATAAATTTTGCTTTGTTTTTTGTTTTGCCAATTAGGTTTGCTTTGTAATTTGTAATTGTTAGTTACTTGTACTATGATTTCTTGTCGTTGGACTATAAAATTATTTAACATTTAATACGTTTACATGGTGTAAATCTTTGCGCAAACTACTTAAGCTAGATTTCATTAACGTATACAGATAGATATAAATACAATATAGTAAGAGCAGTATATAGTTTAAGTAAAGATAACACATTTCATAATTGATTAATATGCACTAGAAAATAATAGAATTTCAGTTAGCATATACAAATAGGACCATTAGCTTAGGTACAGTTTCGCTTGGATTTGGATGGCAATTGCATTATAATTGAGCATTATGGTTGAAAAGAAGGAAAGACAGCATAAAAGAAAGAACGTACACAAAATATTTGTAAGCAAATATATCAAACATATAAGTATATATATAAAAAATGATATATATATATATAACAAAATGCAAAAAGTGCATGCTACGATTTAAAAAAAATTAAGGAAAAACATTTACAGAATACTGTTTAGAAAAAACATAATAAATATTTTCACTCGTATGTACAAACAAGTATACGAAGGCGTTATATACTAAACTTTAAATATATACATATATATATATGTCTGTTAAGAAATATGTATATGTATATGCATTTATGTACAACAAAATGCAAAAATCTCTAAAAATAATTTACATTATAAGATAGCAAATCAAATTATTCTGTGGTGGATTGTGCAGCACTGCAAACGCAAACGAAATGGTCAGCACTGTGTCGAGTTGTGTGCTGAGTGTGACCAGGTAAGTCAAACGGCGTGTGAATGTGTGGTGTTTGTTGCGGTTTTTGTTGCTTTTTGTTGTGGTTCTTGTTATTGTTTTGTGGCTGTGTGTGTTCTGAGTGCGTTGCTCAATTTTTAATTTTTGAGCAGACTACTTTGTGCCTCGAACTCCTTCTCATTTGCATTTGAGGTATTGCACTTGATCAGGGCGACGGCATTGTTGCCGGCACCATCAAAGCCACCATCGAGACCACCCTTCGGTTCGCGTTTGTTGCGACCACCGAAAAAGGGTAAATATTTCTGACAAAAGCCCACCTCAGCGTCCAATTGATGCAGATCATCCGCCGCCGCACGTTTCGTCATCTCCGGCATGATATCATCAAGGATTTTCAGCTCACGTCGCGTAAACACAAAGTCGAGGGATTTCCGTATGCCAATCATAACCACCAACATCAGCGGGAACAAAATGGATGTCTGCGAGAAGCTCTTAATTAGCCAGAGAATAATCAGACATGCCAACTGAATGAGGGTAAACAAGTGCACACGTTTAATGGGCACCTAAACGTAGAGAAACCAAAGAAATCCGAGGCAATCGTGAGTTAATAAGAATCTTGTCTGCTTATATGTTTTTATTTTTACCTGTCTCAGGAACATGTAGTCCGGTTGATATTTGGCTGGCATAAACATTATAAGGATGCGATCGAAGAATTGCAGACCCTTGAGCGAGGCCACGCCCATATATAAGAAGACCCCAAAGAGTACCGGCATCGGTATGTAACCGAGCAGCGGTGTCAACAGCACTGAGACGCCAATGGTCAGGAAGATCAGGATGTGAGTCACACGCTGCTCGCGCACACCCAAGAACTGCGGTTTCTCGCCAGGGGCACTGCACTCCGATTCTAGTTTCAGCGAGTTGACATGATTAATGCTCAGCACCGTAGCAGCTACGAACCTACAAAAGATAAACCACATTTGTAAATTAGGAAATACCATAAAAAAATTTTGAGATTATTAAGGCGAATAAAATTTCCTTAAAATACTCTTAACTGAAATATGTTGTTGTTTGATCATTTATAACCATTAGTTCTCAAGAATTAATAACCTCGACATAAAACTTACCAGGGCAAACCCATCACACTGCAAATGACAATTAGGCCGGAGAGAATAAACAGATCCAAGTGATAGCCACAGCCCTTCCTCAACTTGTTCTCCTTGCGATTGACAATCACAGCCGTAATTTGCTGATCCATAAAGATGAGAATGGTGCCCAGCATTGCTGGAAATACAGCTATGAGTTGTGACCACCAAGGATTCCTCTCGCTAAATGGCGGTATAAGCCAACCACGTGTGCTCAACGTGGGCTTCAACTCATGGGGCACCTCAAGTTTCTGTGTGGGCACACCCAGCGAGTAGTCAAAGAAGGTCATCGAAAAGATGGCAATCAGTACGGAAAAGTCACTGATATACTGGCGCACAATGGATGGGAAGAACAAGGCATTCTTGAACTCCTTGAGTACGGTGGAAAAGATGAAAGTGCCGCTGCATAAAACCACGGACATAAGGAATACGTTCTCGGTGGGTGGCTTGCCACAATCTAGACCCGTCAAAGTACCATTGTAGAACTACATTCAAGAGAGAGAGAGAGAGAGAGAGAGAGAGAGAGAGAGAGAGAGAGAGAAATCAGTTAAGATGAGCTCATCGATAGGACTTTCGTAGATTACCTCACAAGAGTCCCATTTGTACTTGGCAAACTCCAAGACGCTGGCATTGCTCTGCAACGGTGGTGTGCAGATGCAATCGTAGATGCCTTGGTTGACGGGGAACGTCTTGCCAATAACGACCACATTCTCGATGGCCTTGTACACGAAGATCACTGCGATAAGTGTGGCAAAATTCTCCTCGGTGAAGCGTGTTATGTAACAGACAAGGGCGCTGGCATCGATTGCAACCAAGGTGACACAAATGACTGCGACCCACATGCCGATCCAAAAACGGAATGTCATATAGTCCCAGCCTTGAGCCATCGAGAACTCATAGACAATGGACTCGAAGACCAGCACTGGACCAGTGGAACCTAATATTGTTAACGGCTGTCCGGAAAAGAAACCATAACCCATGCCACAAACAAATCCAGAGACGAGGGATTCCATGGCCGCCATGTTCTTGCCCGTCGCCTCGGAGAGTAGGCCACCGAACGTAATGATGGGCGACAGGCAGGCGAAATACAAAAAGATCCACGAGGCCACACACTGCATGGAGAGGGCTTCGCGATAATCGCTCCAATACCAGGGCGCCTTACGCTTAATGTCATTGATAAGGCCGCCAAAGAGGCGACCCGATCGCGAGAGACCAGACTCTTCACGCAAGCGCTGCTCCTCCTCCTCCTCGTCGATCTCCTCCTTGAGCAGCTCTGGTGGCCGCTTGCGCACCTCTTGCGATGGTATTGCCGCTGGCGGCTCAATGCGTATTGTTGGATCCCATTCGCCTGGTGGTAATACTGTAACCGCATCCAAAAACTCATCCACGCCAGCGAGCAAATGGTCTCGCTTGCGTGCCCTATATGCTACCTCATGGAAGATTTCATCCGACATCAGTGTGGCCATGGCACGTCCAATCTCATGGAAGTTACTCTGGCTGCCCGGTGGACCCAGCAGTATGAAAATAAATCTGTAAAGAGGTTGAGGTGTTAAAGAGCGATTAGCTGATGGCTTCATCTAAATGCTTAATGCAAGAATGCGATCTGAGATGAAACCCCTTTAACAGATAGTCAATATACCTAACAAAACTTAATGCATCCCTTTGATTCTTGGCTCACCTGGTTGGTACTGGCACCTCGGTCAGATCGCCCATGACAGCCGCCTGGCTTAGACGTATGAAGCACGAGAGGGTGCGCTCCAGGAAGTCCACCTCGCCCACTAGAATGTTGCTTGCTTCCGCTCCTGGTGGTATTTTGCGCATGAAATTCGTGTTACCCTTGTGTTGCTGTTCGGCGAGCTCTGTGCCGCTGGTCTGCCTGGCCATCGATTGGCTGCTGGGACTCTTCACCATATCCTCTGTGATCACAGGCATTTTATATTTGGGCCGCAAATTTTTGGAATTTGATTTTTTCTCTACATTAGTCAAATTCGGTATCGCATAGATAGGTGGTACGGAGTGGGTTTTTGGTATTGGTGGTATTGGTAGACGTGCAGGTTGTTGGTTTTGTTGTATATTGTTTATCGGATATAGGCAATACATTACAGCAAAGACAAACAACAACATAAATCATAAATAAAGAAATAAATACAATAGAAGTGCAAGAAAAGTTTAGTTAATAAAATTCATTCACATTGGTGTGATAGATCATGCGCTGAACATATTATTGAATACTCTGAGTTACAAGCATGCAAAGGTGTGTGTCTGTGAGTGTGTGCGTGTGTATTAGAATGTGTAGAAGGAGATAAATGTACTTAAAATCACATATCTGAAAATTATTGCCTTATATATAGGTTCCAATGTTTCTTGGAGCAACGCGCATGCAAATTTCTTCTTTTTTTTTAGATCTTGGCCTTTTTTTAAATATTGTTTACTACCAAAATAAGGAAACAAATCTGGGATTCATATTTGCAGCTATTTTTTTTGTAATAAAATCAAATAGGCAGACACGTAAACGAACGGTAACGGTAAAGATAACGATAACTTTTTGATTCTTGATATTTTGGAGGTTTTGAAGTTTTGGTTTCTTTACCAAGCGCCTTGCTGCTGGGTTTGCCGGGCACAGTTAGAAAACGTCCCATTCCCATTCCCATTCCCATTCCTAGGGCATTGCTACTGCCATTGGTATTGCCGGGGGGTCCGGGCTCGCTGGCGGTTACCGATAGCGGCGTGGTTGCCATTAAAGTGTTGCCAGACTGCTCTTCAACTGTAAATTTGCGTCGTAGTATTGTGATTGATTAAAATACATAAACAACGAAACGAAATGAAAACAAGGAAAAAAAGAAAAGGATATCTAAGAATCTCGCGATAAGTCAGCTGCATCATGTCTAGATTATTTAACGCGAAACCCAGAGGAATCTCAATTAAATAGGAGAATATTATCATATCTTGGAATATTTTGTGAGGAGTTTCATAGCAGATAAATAGAGTTGAGTATCAAAAAAGTTGTAAGGGTTGAAAATCAGCTAAAAAATAGCTGGAAGTTTTATATTATATAGAGATAGAAAAAAGGAGAGAAATATAAAGTTAAACTAGATACATATCGTTGTTTAAGTACAGCGTGCTATGGTAGGTACACTTTACGCAAAGAAGTTAAACCATTTAAAGAGTTTACACAAAAATATGTCTAATAAGACAATTACTTGGCAATTGGGTCGTCGTTGGCTGTTGCTGTGTCGCTTGTCCTTGTGCGCTGGACGACGGGGCATGCGAGGGCGAGGCACCCGCATGGAACCAGGTGGTAACGCCAATAGCGCCCATGTCAGCTGTTTTTCAACAAACGAGTTACCAGTTGGGGAGCAAAATCGAGCGATCGTTAGAAGTGGTGTTAGCAAACGCTTTGAACTGACGTTGCACAACACTGCATTTGTGACTTAACTACTTAACTAGTGTTCGAGTGATTGATTGATTGATGAATGAGATGGATATTGCAGATGGAATTGTATGAGCGTGAATCGTATCGTACTTAGAAGTAAAGAGGCAGAGTTACGAGTCTGCGAATCTATTTGCTAGATGGGTGGTGCGTGCTCTCTATACAGCTGTGGTGTGGGTCTGGAGCATTTTGCGGTGCATTGAAAAGCTGCTTGGAGAGAGAGAGAGAGAGAGCGAGACAGAACCAGAGAGAGAGAGAGAGTGTGTGTGTGTTTGAGTGTGTCTCTAATACCTGTGGGAACAGCGAGATAACCACCACGCTGATCCTTACTGGACACAAAGAGGGGCGTCTCGGGTGTACGGTATCCATCCAAACCGAAACCAGGCGATGGGGCATGCAACGAATGCCCACTTGCGTCTAAGCAACCCCATTTTTTTGTTTTTTTTTTTTATTTTTATAATGGTTAATATTGAAGTTAATGTGGGTTAAGTTAGGAAGAATCTCGACTCATGATGATGATGCGCAGCAAACGAACGAGATGAGCTTAGAGTACACTGATAATGACGAAAGGCACTACTCACTTTTTGATGACGACTGATTGCGCATGTCTGCCAGGGAGCGAATGATTGGTAGACGCGACTTCTTCGCATACTCGTGCTGATGCCGATGACGACGCAACAGTGCATCCTTCACCTTATCCTTGACGTCGGCGGGCAGGGTGCCACTGTTGACCATTTGATCGCAAACCAAGTCGGCGACAAGCTCCAGATTGCTGGCCTCCATGTCCAGCATGACGCTGCCATTGAGGAGGAGGCCACGCAGCTCGAAGAGCGAGTGCAGCGAGAGTGTTGCCACATGCGGCTTGGACCAGCGGTTGCCACCCTCTTCGACATCCTCCTCGAACTTAATCCAGCGAGCTGTTTCCTTCCATTCAATTTCATCGCCTTCCTTCACCAGCATGCCCATCTCGGAGAAGAGAGGATGCGAAACATGCGAGCCATCGTCCACATCCTCGCCCAATATAAACTGTACACGTTGTGCGGGCGGCGTCGCTAAGAATGGTCGAATAAATGGGTCAGTAAAACATTTACGGCACTCAAGGAGACAGCCACAGGGTCTGAGCGTAATCCGGTTAATTGGCCACATCATTTGGCCCGATCCGCTCGGGAATCGCTCTCGACCATATGGCCACTTAGTATCTGTGTGTTAGTTGATTGCGTGTCTGATGTGATAGTGAGGCAAGTGAGGCAGGCAAAGGTTCGGCCTGTATTGAATGGGGTCAGGTGTTGATTATTAATGAGCCTAGCTCCGGTCTTAAAGTAGCTTAGTAAATTGAATTTTAATATATCTACATTAGAGTTAAGCTAGTCAATAGTTCTATACATGTTTTATATTAACAACATTTGCATATAGCTGGGTGCTAACCGCATTATTGCAGTCTTTATAAAAATTATATAAGGAGGTTAGTTCTTAACTAAGTATTTATATTTGTATACGTTTTATACTCAGTTTAACGTGACTGTGATATGCTCAAGAAATTATATTTTGATTTCTATATGGCTTCAATTTAATTTAATTTGTTGACTATGATAATTCGGCTCAACAGATCTGAATTGCTATTAAATTGTTTTCTCTGTTAGTTGGTTGAGTTTAGCATAAGCTAACATTTATTTTGGCAGAGTTCTCTTTTTAACGATTCTCATGTTTCAGTGGAGGTTGGCAACCCTTTTCAAATTTGGTACAAATAAACTTTCGTTGATTTTGCAATCATCTTTAAATTTAATCATTCATCTGGTAAATATTGGATAACAATATGAGCAGGAAGAATAGAGTTTGTTAGCAGAATAATGCTGGCCATCGTCCGTCGAATAATGCATTAAGCTGCTCTGCTAACTCATTGATATATTGGTAAACACCTTTTAGAATATTTCACAGATTGAGTTGAGGTGTAAAACCGGTTGATAACAGATTTGACAAACATCTTTATATCATTTGCTAATAATTTATTCATCTTTGATGTAGACCGTGCATAACTGACTATCTCCATTTCAATGATTCACTGCAAACTATGATTTTCACAAGATGATTATAATTTGTGTAGCCTACTGCGACGAGTCTCACATCCTGTAATTTGCTATGATTTTGAAGCAGCAACGTTGATTGGCCGCAGATGTCAACTGGCAATTGCCCTCATCATTCATTCAACAACGTGTCCAGTTCGCAATTATTTTTTCCAGCATACACACACACACACATACACACATAAGCACATGCACATGCACAGTAAATTTACACTGGGATTGTGGAATAGTTGGTGCTATGCCACCCACCTGGACGCTCCACTTCCTGTTGCTTGTCACTGATGCTGCTTCTGCTAGTGGCAGTGCCACCAGCAGCTGCCGCACCCGCTGCTGCTGCAACAACGCCTCCCCCGGGTCCACTGTGGTGATGCTTGCGGCGTCGCTGAGAATGGCGTCGTCCTCCTGGCACGTGTACGCCCACATAAACGGTATGTGCACGGTGTCCTGCATGCGTGGATTCAAATTGAATGTGTCGCTTAATTGATTACAACACAATACCAAACACAATAACAAAGTATACACACATACTACGTGAATAATTCTGCACTCGGAAATCAAATGGCAAAGTCGGTCAGTTTATTCCGTTCCGCTTTTATGGTTGATAAGAGTTGAGGCTACAGCAAGTTTATATTCTATGCCATTGCGCTACGATTTGCCCTAGCTACAGCCGACTTTCGTATCAGGTCCAGTACGGCATTGCACATACGCCGCATTGTCTCATGAGGAGGGTATATTTTTTTTAGATCGGAATTGCTTTGTGTGCCTAATTGCAGCTGAATAAGCGCTCATCTAGTAATATATGTATATTACTAATTTATTTCTCCACTATCTATATACGTACTATGATCTGTTAACTTCCTAGTCCTATTACAATTTTAATTGTGATATTGTCTGTATTGTGTGGCAGCTGTTAGAACTCGATCTGATCATAATTTGAACTAATTATAAGTGACAATTTTTTAGCCTGAAAAAATCGATATACAAATTAATATTTGTATATATATATCAATGACTGGTGGGCGTTTAGCAAGCTGCTGCTTACTAATTTAATTTGCAATTCATCTGCGAATACAGTGCGGATTGTTTACACGAATAACTGAAGGTATAATGCTGGATTAATGTAAAATGTGTGAAAAGGCATAAAGGTAAAGTGAGTGGTATGTATATGGATTGAATAATGGATTAGACAAATAGGATAACAACATAAAGTTTGTAATATTAACGAAAAATAATAATAATTTCGTATTAAAACTAATTAAATATAAATTAAAATTAAAATAAATGGGTGTATATTGAAAAACACTAAAGTTTCATTGGAGTAATTAACAGAAACTTGGGAAAATGTATAAATATGTTAAAAATAATTAGACTAGACTCATTTATAGATGATTTCTTATCCCATCAATTCCGTTATGTCTCAAAATAATTCTCAGAGAAATATTTTTAATAACTGCAAAACCCGCTTTTAATATTTTTAAAAACTAAAAATTAACTTTTATGCTTAAAATCTTTTTCAATTATTATAATCATATATCTGTGGTCTGTCTTGTCACATTAAATCCATTTTAATTCTAAATTATTATCACAATAGGAAAAATAATTTTTTGAAAAGTGCATTAGCCGGTTTTTGAACTTTATTGAGTCGAGTAAGTTATTCAACAGATTTTATGCAGTTCACGTTTTCTATGAATAATTCACGTAAGCGTCCAGTTTGATCTAATTGCCCGATTAATATGCTAATACTTAAAAATTATCAATATTTAAAAAGCAATCTATAAGGGAGCAAATAATTTGTGTAGTAAATCACGTGATTCAAATAAAAAAAAAAAAATCAACATTTTTGGGAGTGGCATCTTTCTATGACACATTGTATCGCATTGCATTCTCAAATATAGTTTTGCAAATTAACACGCTACTAAATGTGTTGCTTGTCATGATAACTATTGTTCTGTCTCCCATTTCTTCCCTTGCGGCATTTTGCCTATTTTCTTTGGGTTACGTAATACGAAAGTTCTCAGGTGTGCCTGAGCCAAAAGCGCGGGCGTGTCGTTAAGCAAGTACAAATTTTCAAAAAGCCTCAGCTTTCAAGTCTATTAAACTGATTTGCCATACATTGCGTATACGCCGCGTGATGCAATAGATTTGCATTTATTTACTTACCCTCAAAATCGTTTTCTGTAAATTGCTGAGTGAAGTCCTCACCACCGGTTCGGGGATCTTTTGGTGCCTCATCGTCACCGCTTGAGGAGTTCATGTTCCAAGGCCTTTAAGAAAAAAGAATAAATTCACAAATATTTAGTTTTGTTAAGATTTATTCTACTTTTGATCCATAATTGAAAATAAAGCTCATTTTTAATGATTTTCTCGCACATCGATTTAATTATTTAATTTTAGAAAATGTTGCACACTCAAAAAACCAGTACTGCATATGCCTTCATGTAATTGAAAAGTAATTCCAAATGAATCAATTCTAGTGGTGTCATTTGGCTGACTTAAAACACTAATAAACATTTGATTACTCTGACAGTCACGCCCACTTCGCATTACAGACAATCACAAAGTACTCCAAAAATGATTTCGATTAATAGTGGTTGGGCAGCGATGCCTGTCATTGTTTAGTTTAGCTTAATTCCACACGCGATTAATGGATGAACTAAGCCCAGCAATTGTTTCGCTTATTCAGCTAAAGTTGCTCAAAAGATTTGTCGGTTTTTATTACTTTTTATTATTGTGCATTCCATATACGCAGTGAATATTTAAGTTTGTGCGCTGAATTTTATACTTTGACGAGGTGTTATAATTTAGACATCAAAAATCACATAATCTTAATCAAATACTGGAACTATATAAATATTTATTTGTATGTGAGTTTTAGTGTATTTTGTTGGCTGGGTTAATTAATTGGCTTGACAATTTGAATATTTTGTTTCTATTTAAATATTTGCTGTGCATATTGAGTATGTGAAATAAGTAAATAAATACTGTCTCAATAATTACAATGTTAATGTTCACGTTACAGATTTGATACATTTAAATTCCAAACCAACTTTGTAAAAGATTGCCAAACGTGTTGAAGTGGTTATAACATCAGGTCAAAACCTTGCCACTATTAGAAGTGCATTTTTGAATTATTCAACAAGCGTGATGCCAGCAAAATAAATATACTGGTCGTGTATGCTCGACTATCTGATACCTGGTATAGAAGCATAGAACGAAAATTGCATTCTATTTAAAGTTTCTCAATAGCTTCAATTAGAAACCTTTTCAAACCTATTTTTGAATAAGAATCAAACAGTCTACGCTTTAATATTTGATTTTGTAATTCGATTTGCACATGACATGCGAAATTCCTTATAAAAGTATATATTTGCATTTGATCCATTTAATACAATTTTTATTGTGTCTATAGAGTGAATGTATCACGATTGTCGTAAATATTTATTAACATCTTGAGTCAACAACAGCGCTATCAACAGTCTAAAATGCTTATCTATAAATATGAAGTACATGTTTGTCTACATATATATTTACAAATATGTATATATGTATATATTTACATATGTATATATATATGCTTGTCCAACTGATAGACAGACCCTCCAAGCTGTCTGCCAAGTGCCGTTATAAACTGTGTCAATTTCAGTCATACGAAATGTTAATATTAAACCACTTTCGCAGTGTCCCAGTCGCCATCCAAACCAATATCAAGTGACTCACGTAGCGCCGGTTTATAAAAACAAGCAGCCGACAGATATGCACACACTTGAATCTTTAACAAGTTTGTTCAGGCAAGTGTTTAATTAAACTCTTAAGCCCAAAGATAAATCATTTTGAGAAAGATATTTTCAAACTGTAGAACAATCAGAACTTATTGGGCCCTTGTCCTTGATCTCTTTTATGATCGTTGCTTAAAGTTTCGTAGATAAACTCGTCAATTTCCCACTGTGACATTTTTAATAGCACTGATATTTTTTTACCGGTTGTCATGGGTTCGAGTCCCACTTCGTGTGTACTTTAAAATATAATAAAAATTAATCAAGTTCCAACGAATAACGTCACGCGTTTGTTTTATGTGTTTACTATAATTGACTGCTAATAACTAATAATGTCATGAAAGGAAATTTTTTTAAGTACTTAAGAACTTTTGACTACCAGGTACAATATTTAAAAAAATTCACCTCATTGCTAATTGTATGTTGCACTTGCCTTGGGGCTTAGGAATTTATTTTACTCTTTACTTACGTTTCTTCTTCATAATTGTTGGCCATACTCTGGGGATTTGACTTAGATATGGATTTTGACACCGACAAAACACACGATCGCGTATCGTTTTTAGAATTGCGCGTTCGATTTGCTTATTACTTGATGATTATTGATGCAGTCCAAACCGAACTATGCGATTGCCGTAGATAGGCACAATATTTGTCCAATTGCTTGTCGCTCGGATCAATTTGCTATTTATCACGCCGTTCTTACGACTCGCTCCAAGCCCGTGCGATTGCAGACTAACTACTAACTGGCCGATCTTCAAAGCGAAGCAGCGTCGGCGCTTAACCCGCTGCTGCGACTGCTGCGTTTGCTGCGTCTGCTGCTGCTGCGATTAACGTCGGCAGCGACGCCGACAGTGGCTGCACAGTGGCGCCAGGTATTGTTATTATTCAACAAACTTAAGAATCAAGCCTTGATTAATATTGAGTTATAATCTCTCATTAATATATAAAATCACATTTGTATATAAAATAACAGATTCTCTTTTTCATGTTATCCACTTTGACTTCTAACAAGTTAAAGTTCAAATACTAAATACTTAATAGCTCGGAGCTAATAGCACTCGTACCACTGTCCGTCGATCAGAACACACAGTGTGTTAACGGGAGAGTGGAAACATACTTTCAGAATGCCTATACACAAATCCGACAGACTCATTTACAAAATGTGTTTCTAAACGTTGATATACATTGCTGACTTTATCGATATTCGCCGTCTTTGTTCTTATCGCAGGGTGCGTTCTACCATTCTTTTTATCAGTGTGAGTAACTTTGCTGTACAAGCTGTTTGTCTAACTTGCAATTAGTTTTTATTACAAGATTTGCAATAGGGTTGCCTTTATATATATTTATATTTACATTTTTTGTTACAGTGATTTCATTGATTAATATTGATAATAGCAGTTACAACTGTAATTTTCCAGAATTTTTATGTGTTTGTATTTAATTTTTGTTTTTTTTTTTTTTGACAATGTTGCCGTGCTCCCATTCAACATAATCGCACAATCAATATTACAAGGTTTATGACAAGATTAATTTATTATATATTTTATATAAAATCTTTTTTGTGTGATGCCAAAGGTCTTTCACAATAGGTTACAGCACTTTAAGTGATTGCTTGTTTGTTAATGAATTTGTATTCATATTTTAATACTAATTTTCATGAATAAAATACGGATAATCTAAGCTATTTTGAATTTTAGATAACGTTGTGCTTCTGCTTTGTTTTGCTTTGTTTGGGGTAGGTTTTCATTTTTTTGCTTACAAAATTAAATAATTTTAATGACAAGACCAGCCAGCTCTTTATTTATGTTGCAGTTAATTTTTTATTATATTTTTTCAAGGGAAATTATAATGAAATTGAATAAACATTTCAAAAGTGATGGAAAATTGTGTGTAAGAATTAAAGTCGCCTAATAACTGTCTTTACATGAAACGACAACTTAAAGCTAATGCAGTTCTTGAGAAAGAATATTTCAGACAATTCCAAATACGAGCTTTATCCAAAAAATGATCTATTGCAGATCTTGTGAAAGACTTACAAAACTTATCAAGTTTCCGCATGTTTTCAAACTTATTATACAACATTAAAATTAAAATGTAAAATTAATGTTTATTCTTGTTGCTGCCCTCTGATTTTATATTTTTATCTTTTTAATAAAATAATAATGATCCGCTTCTAGCAACCGCATTAAACTGGTATTTGTTAAACATTTTGTTTATCACTTGTTCCGAGGAAACAAACAACAAAAAAATATGAATATGAATATATATATTTATTTTGTAACTCTTTTCGTTGTCTTGGAATTATATCAGTTGCCTGCTGGAGTCGTCTCGCATATATTGCCATACATATCTTCAAATATATGTATGGAAAACATATGTTTGTCGGGACTAAATCGTAGGAAAATTGTAAACAGAAATGACAAAAGTGCCAAGAAAATATGTTGGGCATGTTGTGTTTTGTTTTTACACTGCTTTGTGGTATTTAACGAAATTAAATTTGTAACAAATTGCCAGACTTAGATGCGTAAAAAGCGACGCAAACAGAGTGTCATCATTTTCTGGCTTAAACTGGAATGTGGCAACCGCATCGAGTTTTGGCAACTTACAAATGGCTAGTGCCTTAAAACAGACTCAAACTGTCTGGCTAACTGACTGTAAGAAAGTCGGTCTGATTTAATTAGACATTTTGATTTTAATGACGTATCTGCAGCGGGGAACTTTATAAATCTCTGCTGAATGTTTACTGAATTTGGGATGTTTATTTGATTTGTTAGGATCACTTCCGTTGGAATATTCATAATTTCATTTTTTCTGGTACAATAAATTATCGTTAATTAACACATGACAGCCTGGACATATAATATTGTTGAATTGATGTTGATTTACTGCTCTAATATTATTAAACGTTTGTCGCCTGTAAGCAAACACTTGAACGATAATTTCATAAAAATAAAATCGTCAGTTAAAGAGTCTAACGCTGACAACCTTTTCGAGTGTCTGTATAATTAATATTATTAGTAACCTAACTAACATTGACGTCAGATATTCTCCATCTTATCGATGAAAATTTGAAAAATCATTAAGCTCCTTGGGCATAAACGTGTCATAGCCAAGATTCATTGCAATTTAAAAGCTTAAAGCCTTGTTGGAATCTCTATATATTTTCAATTGCAGTTTGCTTGCTTTAGACTTATCGCAACCTCTTGAGAAGTTATTCTTGATTACAAAATTGTTTAATAAACGTGACAAGCTCCTCAACTGAGATGTTTATCGTTGCTGGGCTGGCGCGTCATTCTGCCAAATACTTGAACAAATCACTCGATAAGGTTTTACTTTCTGGCAATTGTGGAGCTTATCATTATCTAAAATATGTTTGGTATTAACTTATATTGTGTATATGGTTTTGTTTGTGTCGCTTGATGGGTTTATGGTTTTTGCCAAATTTCACAATTTCGAGATCGAGTTTTTAAGCCAAAAAATATCACCAGTTTATCGTCAGATCAAACGTATCCATAAATATTGTTGTATGTTTTTCTTTGCTTTAGTTTATAACACTTGTTTTTAGTCATTTGTTTAGTTTGAAGTGTCAATAAATGCTATTATTATTTTATCTTAGCCGACATTTTAATATACACTATTATTGTTTAATTAATGAACAAATAAGGCGAGAGCTTATGCATCTACAGAAATGTCTAGATGGGGAGGAAATGAAAGAGGAAGGTCATTTAGTATTGATCTAATATTGACACCAAATATTGATATACAAATAGAAGTAGGGTGTCTAGCATTAATAATAATAAAAATGCTATTTTTGTTCGTTAAATCAATATTTTGAAGCTTAGAAACAGTTTGATTGGTATGATAAAACCTGAATTGGAGTATAACATCAAATTAACATTACATTCATAATTTTCTTCAAGTCTATATTGGGGTAGCGTATCACATTTGTTTGTATGTACATAAAATATTATCATTGATTAAAAAAAAAGGGATTTGCCAACTCTTCCTTTGATATATCGCAGCGAATTTCATAAAATTTTTATGAACAACATCAATTTAACGACCCAAGCCCTTGATTAACTGGTTAATTGGGTCACCTGACTGCGGGAATTCACATTTAAAATTCACATGTAAGGCACAAAATGATTCGCCAGAGCCCTCTAATATTGAATATATTACTTGTTAATCAACTCGAATGTAAATATTATTTTTTTCATTTTATATATTAAGAGAACTATTCGATGCAGAGAAATTACTTGTGTTGCCGAGGACAAATCAGTTGTTAAATAAATTAAAGAATTATTACTTCAAATTAAGTTCCTTGTTCTAATGTAAATATTAATTGGCCTATTTTATCCAGAGAAACTAAATTAGTTGCCGAGAACTTGTTGTTAAATAACGACCTGTCGATTAAAGTGAATAATTATTAGTATACCTTAAGTTCCTTACGTACAGAGTCCAGTTTCTATATGGGTTAATTATAACCCTTTCCATATTTATGATTTGGTAATTATCAGTGAACAATTTTAGCACTTATTATTTGTTTTTGTACAATTCTGGTTCAGTATATTTTTAAAGGCATATCGACAAATCCTCAGCCATATATTTTTGTCAAGGCCTTCTGACGTTATAAATCCCATGAAACTCAGGGTCGTCTGCTGGCAACTTGGCTTACTCGCACCTAAGGCCCAGTTGAACAGTTGCCCAGTTGCACAGTTGTCTAGTTAAGTGGTCAACCGTACCCTCGCCGCAAATTTAAACCACAAAGTCGTGCACAAAAAATATATATCTTCAAGCTTGGCTGATGTCATTCTTGACACGATTGCTTCCACTTTTATTGTCTTTGAGGGACGTCATTTAAGGCGATGAATTTCAGGCGTCAGCTGCACGGACAACCAAAGCCCTGCTGCCATAGACGATTAAAATAAATAAAAACTGTATAAATGAACCACTACGTTAAATGAAATGAAATGGTTTAGTTCCAAGTTTCATGGTAAGAAATCTCATGCTAATGGCAGACAAATATCAAAAACCCGACTTGTACCGTTTGTTCAATTAATTAACAGAGCGCCAAATATGAAGCAAAAGTTTCTAAAAATAAAATCCTATATATAAATATGAAATAATCTGCAAGTTTACTCAAGTTGAAGAGGTGCAAAGGGGCATTGTGGGTACCACAAGCGTGCCACAGAGGCTACAAGCATTTCATGTCAAATGTTGCATTGCGGAAATGACATACATAAGATATGGGGGCGTGTGAGGCTTGGTCCAGCTAGGCAAATGGGATCAATGTCCCCGCCTAGATGTTGCACTGGAGAATGAGGCAAGCAAAACAGAAATGCCAACTAGGGTAGACAGTTCAGCATGGGTACAACACACAGAGAGAGACACGGAGGCAAGAGAGACAGACAAACAGAGAGAAAGAGAGAGAGAGAGAGAGTTAAGCTGCCATGCAGAAACAAGACTGGGAGTGGAGAGTTTTGCAAGAAGTGTCTGCTTTTGCCTATCGAATGCTTCCTGGCAGTAATACTGCACCTTATCATAATAACTACAATAGATATCCAGACAAAAACACATATGCACTTGCCATGTTATTGACCCAGTGCAGGCTCTAACAATGCAACACACACAGACACACACACACATTTGGTTGCATCGAAACAAAACGGAAAGTATGCCAAAGTTCTCCA